GAATATACTTCTGGGTTCTCAATTCTGTTCCACAGATCTGTGTATCTTTCATTGTACCAACTGTTTTGATCACTGAGGCTGTGAAGTAAAATTTGAGATCAGGGAGTGAGAGGCCTCCAGATCTGTTGTTCTTCTCAAGCAGTGCTTTGCCTATACAAGGTCTTTTTCCTTCCCATATGAAGTTCATGATCATTTTCTTCCATCTTTTTACAGAATTATGTTGGAATCTGGATTGGCTTTGGTCTTTTCTGTAGCTGCCTGTGCCGTCTCCTTTGCCTTTTCCTTGGCTTATATCTATAGATTGCTTTGTCTATATAGTGTTGACATTTTCATAATGCTAAGTTTTCCTATCAATGAGCATGTTATATTCTACCATTTTTTTGGGGGGGGTGCTAATTGAATTCAGCAAGTATTTATTGAGTGCCTAATATGTGCTAGCTGTTGTTTCAGGTACTTGGGACACATCAGAAGGCAAACAGATCCCTGCCCTCATGGAGTTTACAGTCTAGTGTCTGTACTACTCCACCTGCACACTGTGACCCTGGGCACCTCTCTGTGCCTCAGGTGCCCAATGGGGTCATAAGCAGGCCTGGCACAGAAGTGGCTAACATGCTTGGTGTCCTATAGATGCCCAACCAGCCCCCCACTCCATGCTGCCCCCCAGACAGTAGATAGGGCTGGAAGTTGATTTTTAATAAGAAAGCACATTTGGGGATAGGTCAGAAGGGGTGCAGATGGATTGTCTGGTGTGTGGTGGTGGTGGTGCTGGGAAGGCTAGGATGGCTACACACACAGCTGCTGCTGCTTCTTGGTGGCTGCCTTGTTGGCAAGGTCCTTGGCCTTTTCTATAACTGCCAGTGCCATGTCCTTTGCCTTTGCCTTGGCTTCGTTGGCGGTTTCAACAAGTGTTTTGGAAGGGGCCTCACCTTGCAGCTTGGCCAAAATATATTCAAAACCTTTCATAGTCTTGGTTACGTTGCTTTTATTTTATTTTATTTTTTAACGTTTTATTGTGAATTATATGATAGTTTACATGAGAGAACCTCAGTTCCATATTCATTCCATCATATATCATTACATTGCTATGGTTCCAATCCCCTCTATGCATCGTCTTCCGACCAAAGGGCATATCCTAGAAGCCCATGCTCTACACTCCCCCATCCCCCCTCAGTCTTCGGCCCACAGTTCCTCTCCCTCTCTGGATCCAAAGTCCCCAGCCGCTTTATCCCTCCATGTCATCATCTCTGTCTCCATCTCAGGCATCCCCGGT